TCCCAAAGTGCTGGGATTACAGGCGTGAGCCACCGCGCCCGACCTATTTATTTTTTAAATATAGAGACAGGGTCTGTCTGTGTTGCCCCGGCTGGAGTACAGTGGTTATTCACAGGCATGATCCCACTACTGCAGATCTCCATGACCAGCACAGAAGTTCTGACCTGCTGTTTCTGACCTTGGCTGGTTCACCCCTCCTCGGGCAACCTGGTCCCACACTACCGGGAATTCACCATATTGATGCTGAACTTAGTGAGAACACCTGATCTGCATAATGCACTATAGCCCAGAATAGCTGAAATTATCCACCCGCCTCAGCCTCCCGAGTAGCTGGGACTACAGGCATGTGCCGCCTTGCCCTTGCAGGACTCTTAATCACATGGTGTTCACTGGGCAATCAAAATATAATTCTAGATCTAGTAGAAAATGCCCTGGCCTTGGAGTCAGACAGACCTGCTATCTGGCTCTGCCACTTATCGGTTGTATGACCTTGGGCAAGTCACTTAAACTTTCTCAATTGTCTTGCCTTGTCTATGAAAAAGGGATGATAATCTATAACTTGCATAATTATATTGAGGGTTAAATGAGATAAAAGATGCAAATAATCTTAGTGTAATTTAAGGATTCAATGAATATAATTGTTAACTAATTTGAGCCAAGACAAAAGGTAGAATTTTGTCTTCATTCAGGGGCCGGGTGCAGTGGCTCACACCTGTAATCCCAGCACTTTGGGAGGCCGAGGCAGGCAGATCACCTGAGGTCAGGAGTTTGGGACCAGCCTGACCAACATGGAGAAATCCTGTCTCTACTAAAAGTACAAAATTAGCCGGGTGTGATGATGCGTGCCTGTAATCCCAGCTACTCAGGAGGCTGAGGCAACAGAATCATTTGAACCTAGGACGCAGAGGTTGCAGTGAGCCGAGATTGCACCATTGCATTCCAGCCTGGGCAACAAGAGCAAAACTCCATCTCAAAAAAAGAATTTTGTTTTCCTTGCCATTCTTACTTGGGCATTTGGATCTGGAAGTGAAGACAGTCCAGTATAATTTGATTTGTGTTGTTCTTCCCTCAGGTGGTTACTTTGGTCAATAAGAAGGTAGCTTATGGGGGCATAAATGATACAACCCAAATGTCAGATGTGGCCTCTCTGCCTCATTATTTTTTTTTGAGATCAAGTCTGACTCTGTTACCCAGGCTAGAGTGCAGTGGTGCCATCTTGGTTTACTGCGACCTCTGCCTCGTGGGTTCAAGTGATTCTCCTGCCTCAGCCTCCCAAGTATCTGGGATTTACAGGCACCTACCACCACGCCGGATAATTTTTTTGTATTTTTAGTAGAGACGGTGTTTCGCAATGTTGGCCAGGCTGGTCTCAAACTCCTCACCTCAGGTGATCTGCCCACCTTGGCCTCCCAAAGTGCTGGGATTACAGGTGTGAGCCACTCTGGCAGCTTTTCTGCCTCTTTAAGATCCAAATGCAATGGGCTTGAACCTCAATATTCACATTTCCCGACTCAGGTAAGTGCGAAGTCCTACACAAGTTTTTGCAAGTTCCACAAGGGCTTGTGGTCTCACAGTTACCTCTGCTTCCAGTCTCCTTTTTCAATTGAGACCTAACAAAGCACATTGCTCAACTCCCTACTCATGCACTCTCACAATTCCCCTCTCTCAAAAAGCATTCCTGGGTGTAATAGCCCTTCCTGAAGCCTTGAGAGTCACATAGGATGGTCATGTCCTATGTGTAACAAACAACTCATCCCATTTTAGGCATTCCACTGCTGAAACACTCCTGCCAATATACCATGGGAGAGTTTCTTCTGACTTTTTACCTATGTAGCACCTATCCTTATATTGATTTTCTTACTCATCTTTTTCCTTTTCCCCTCCAATCTCTCTCTATTAACTTGCCCTCCCATTTTGTCAAGTGAATTCCAAATTCTCCTCCCCCCAACCCTCCCACACCCAACCTTTTTTTTTTTTTTTTTTTTTTTTGAGATGGAGTTTCACTCTTATTGCCAGGGCTGGAGTGTAATGGTGCAATCTCGGCTTACTGCAACCTCCGCCTCCCACTACCCCTAATTTTTTTGTGATGAAATCTTGCACTGTCGCCCGGGCTGGAGTGCAGTAGCACAATCTAGGCTCACTGAAACCTCTGCCTCCCAGGTTCAAGTGATTCTCCTGCCTCAGACTCCCGAGTAGCTGGGAGTATAGGCACCCACCATCACGCCCGGCTAATTTTTGTATTTTTAGTGGAGAGAGAATTTTACCATGTTGGCCAGGCTGGTCTCGAACTGGCCTCAGGTGATCTCAAAGTCCTGGGATTGCAGGCATGGGCCATCACGCCCCACCTACTCCTACCCCCCATTTAAACATAGAGAGCAAATTCTTCTCCCAAAGTTACATATTCACACTCATCAATTGAGGCCCCAAGCAGGACAAAAGGACCTTCTGTGCATTGGGATCTGTTATTCCTGGAAGAGTGTTGTGGTTTAAAAATAGCACTTTTTTTTTTTCTGTTATACGAAGCACAGTGTTTCCTATTTATTGAATGCTTACTGTGTGCCTAGCACTTTATCAAGTCCTCTGCAGTAGCTCATGTTCTCATTTGATCTTCCCAACAACTCTGAGAAGCAGATCTTATTATTGCTCTTTCTACAAATGAGGAATGGGTGTGTGTGCGAGAGAAATGAGGTAATTGGCATAAGATCACACAGTAAGCAAGGACTGAAGACCAGGTCTGCCTGGCCCCAAGCCTGTGTGTGCCCTTTCTAATTTACTACACCACTTTTCAGGGGAGGGAGAAGGAGAAAGCAACCGGAAGAACTGAGACTACATAAAAGCAATACCATCTGTTCTCATATTGTCTCACAACTTTAAAAGGATGGCTCTATATGCTATCTCATTATTCCTGGGAAGACAGAATAATCATTATCAACTTACCTATTTTGAAATGAGGAAAGTAGGGCCTTGTGGGAGAAAGGGAGTGAGGGAGCAGTTCAGTGTAGCATGTTTGATTTTGCTATTACAGAGGTACCAGCAGTGGGTGATTAAGAGCTCAAGAGTGACCATGGGAGCTGGTGGCCAAGGTGATGTGGAGGCCAAGGACTGAGGGACAAGGAACTCCCATAGCTACTGAAGTCACCAGGAGGATGGCAGGACAGGAGCTAGTGAGGATGACCATGAGCCAGGGGCTGCAATCTTTAATGCATAAGGAGCAATTGGGTGTCAGTGATGAGGAGGGGTTGAGGTGGGTATGGCTGGAGAGTACAGGAGAAAGAATTTTTGTACAAGGGTGGAAATGGCCAAGCCGACCCCACATCCTGGTTTTATAGTATATGGGGAGTGGAAAAATGAGAAGCCTTCTAGCAGAGGGCAGCAAAGGAGGCAGTACCTGGAGGATGCTCAGGCAAAGAAGTCATCTGTGTACTCTGAAGAAGTAGAGAGTATATGAGAGTTTGTTGACGAAAGAACAGGATTCTAGAAGGCACAGAGAAAAGGGCTGGCAGTGTGGTGGGCAGTGTGAGTGAAAGGGCTTGGCAAGAAGCTCGGAAGAGTAAGCATCTGAGACAGAGGCCAGACAAGTAGAGGAGCTGTCAGCTTGGGTGGTTCCTAGGCTGGAGATGTACACTGTAGACAGGGTCATAATGGAACTTGGGGGGAAAATGGTTTTGGTATTTGACTTAGACGTCTAAGATCTGAGATGGGGGAGAAGTGTGAGGAAAGACGATTCTAGACCAAGCTGTCAGCTGGCTCCTGTGACCTCAGGAAGACTGGAAGTCCACATCAGGATTTGAGGGTGGGGCGTTAATTGCCTCCTGTATCTGCCTCCTCTAGTGGAAGTGGGACTTTCTAGGGCCGGGCCAGGCAAGAACATTTTCCTACTCCTGTTGACAGCCTCCTGATAATGGGAAACCATTGAGAGATTTTTGTTTGTTTGTTTTTTGACAGAGACTGGCTCTGTTTCCTAGGCTGGAGTGCACTGCTGGAGTGCAGTGATCTTGGCTCACTGCAACTTCTGCCTCCTGGGTTCAAGTAGTTCTCCTGCCTCAGCCTCCCGAGTAGCTGGGACTACAGGCATGGGCCACCATGCCTGTCTAATTTTTGTATTTTTAGTAGAGTTGGGGTTTCACAATTTTGGCCAGGTTGGTCTCGAACTCCTGACCTCAAGTGATCTGCCCACTCGGCCTCGCAAAGTGCTGGGATTACAGGCGTGAGCCACTGTGCCTGGCCAAGAGTTTTCTTAAACAAGGTTGATAGTAACATGGTGACATTTTTTAAAGGGTTGCTCAGGCTTGTGTCAAAATGATTTTGGTATCTGACTCAGAATGAGTGGGACCAGGAAATCTCATAGCTACTGAAGTCACCAGAAGGATGGCACAGAACAGGGGCTAGTGAGGATGACCATGAGCCAGGGGCTGCAATCTTTAATGCATAAGGAGCAATTGGGTGTCAGTGATGAGGAGGGGTGGAGGGTGGTATGACTGGAGAGCACAGGAGAAATAATTTTTGTACAAGGGTGGAAATGGCCATGCTGACACCACCTCTTGGTTTTATAGGATGAATTGGAGGGTGAAGGCAGGAATTAGGAAGCTGTTGCATTAGTCCAAGCAACAAGTGATGATGCCGGAGTCAGAACAAGGGCAATGGAGACACAGAGGCAGGGCAGGGATATGTTAGGGCGGTGGGATGTGGGGTGTGAAGGAAGCACAGATAGGGCAGAGGACAGCGTCCAGGTTTCTGGCTTCGTTTCCGCTTGTAGTCAGCCTCCCTCCCTGGGCTTTTGTGAAGAGGGAGCGATAGAACGGACCAGAAAGCAGTTTGGAAATGGCAAAACTGTTACCCATCATTAGCTACAGTATCATCAAAGCTAATTACCCTAGTAAGTTCAGTCAATGGAACGAGGCATGACAATTAAGATAAATCACGATAGTCACCTGGAGGTCCTAAGTAACCTCGGATTCCTTACACCTGCTAGGCGTTGAGGGGCGGGGCGGGGCGAACACAGACTCCGCCCCTAGGCGGGGCCTGGACGCGGCCAGAGAAGAGCAGCGCTGGTGCTGGAGCCTCAGCCCTCAGGCGCCACTGTGAAGACAGGACAGGACCCGACCCGACCGCAGAGCCCTGCCCCGGCCCCCTCCGCTCCCTCCCGCCGCCAGGTCCTACTGTCCCGCCGACCTTACGGGAGCGAACCCGTCGTCCCGCACTCGGAGTCCGCGGTAAGGGGCGCGGCCCGGGCAGCCCGACCGCGGAAGATCAGGGACCGATCCCCGGCGCGCGGCGCTGGGCACCGAGAGCGGGCGCTGAGAAGGAGCACGGGGCAGCGGAGGGGAGCCGGGGGAGGAGCGAGGGAGGGGGCTCCGCGGCGGCAGAGGTGGGGCTCGCCTAGGGAGGAAGCGCCGAGGGGGTCTCCCGGACCGTGGGGGCAGCCGGGGGAGCTCCAAGAGCGGGAGGAGAGCAAGAAAGACGGCGCTGGGGCTGGGAGGAGAGATGGGGGCAACTGGAGGGCAGCGAGGGATTGCTGGGGGGAAACGGGGGCGTGGGGGGCGACGGAATTGCAAGGAGGGCGGAGAGGGGCTGTGCGGAAAGGGGGTACCGGGCAGCCGAGAGGCAGCGAACGGGGCGCTGAGGGAGAGGATTGAGGGGTGCTAGAGCGGGGGCGCGGGGGAAGGCGTGGAGGTGAGGAGCTGAGGGGAGGGGACTGGCTGGGCGGGGGTCGTTTGGAGCTGGAGGGGACTCAGGGGCCGAGGGGAAGGGGCGCTGGGCAGCTGGGGAGCATCCCTGGTGCCCTGGTCGGGAGAGGGTCGGGGGTGGGGGATGTGGGTATGGATAGCTGGGATGGGGAAGGGCAGCAGGGCAGTGTCTGGTCGAAAAAGGGTCATTTATGGGGGATGTGGGTAGGGATAGCTGGGGTCGGAGGTGAAGCCCAGCTGGGGACCAGCGTGGGGATAACTGTAGATGGAAGGCGAGGGGTGGGGCTTGGGGGCGGGAAGCCTGGGAGAATGGAAGGGTGAGAGGCCAGGCTGGGTCTACCCAGCTGCAGAGGAAGGGGGCAGGGAGGTGGTGGAGACAGAGGGAAGTGGCCTTGGAAATGGACACAGGGGCCTATATTCTGGTCAGGAGTGGGGAGGAGGCTCTGGAATAGAGTAGGGTCTGGCGGCTGCGAGTGGAGGAATCGTGAGAGAACCCGGAGGGTATAGATAGGGTGGTGGAGCGCTGGGTCAGGCTGGAGAGGAGGCCAGGTGTGGGTTGTGGTGTAAGAGTGGAAAGACGATGGGGATTGAAGTGGGGCCCAGGCACTAGCGGTGTCTTGGCCACTCAAGAGTCCAAGGAGGGGACCCAGGCACTGGACCTTGTTATATGGGCACCAGGGGTCACAGAAAATAAGAGAATCATGGACAGAAAAAGTCATTCAACTCTGTTCTGTAGTCCCAACGTGGAAGGAACTTTGGAGAGGGCAGAGCATCAGCCTTTGGAAGCTAAGAGAGATGTGGAGGGGGTGGGAGAAAGATGGGCTCTCAAAAAAACAAAACAAAAAAACCCCAAAAAACAAAAAACCACACACACACACAAACAAAACAAAAAAAAAACCAAACACAACAAGATGGGCCCTCTTCCCCCAGCTTCCTGGAATCCAGATGGAAAGGGGTGGGAGACAGTAAAAGGAGAGGGTGTGTGTGTGTGTGTGTGTGTGCGCACAGGTGGGTGCCCACCTCTTCAGTGCCTATAAACAGAGGAAGACAATGGAAGCTGTGAAAGTCCCTATATATAGAAGTGGAAAGCCCTGGTGCTGTGGGAGCCAGAGAAGAGGCATTCTTGGGGAGGTGGGTGGGTTGGAGAAGGCTTTCTGGTCATGAAGGATTTAGCTAGCAGTGGAGGAAAGTGTGTTCCTATCAGAGGAAACCGTATGGGAAAAGGCAAAAATCTAAAAGCATCTCCAGTCCAAGAAATAAATCTTCAGTTTCTTAAAGATTATGACATGAAGGGAGGCATCAGTAACCTATAGAAAATCTTTAAATAGGTTTCCCCTCTGAGCTTGCAGTTCCTAGAGTTTCTCTCCATCTCCCCAAAGTATAGTACAGGGCCTGGTACATAGTAGGTGCTTAGTGAATGTTGATTGAATGAATAATTGAGCTGTGGTGGTGCTCCTGCCTCAATTTCTTCATCCATTTCCAAGAATTGTTGTGACAATCAAATAGGATAATGTAGGTGAAAAGAACTTTGTAAACTGTAAAACACTGTACAAAGAGAGAGGACACTGATGTTATTCTGCAGGTGTGCCTCCGTTCTGTCAGTGGACACACCCATGGCTATCTCTTTCCAATCTGGAGGAGGAAGGAAATGAATATCAAGCATCTGTTGTGTGCAAGATGGAATGCATTGAAAGCATCTTGTAGAATGCTTGACATTTAGTAGGTGCTCAATAAATGGTAGCTGTTATGATATTGTTTCTGTAGCTCTAAGATACCTGGGAAAACAATGAAAAGGTGGTGATGGGTTAGCAGTGAGGAATGATCTAAAGACAGATTGAATTAGAAAAGGAGAGTGTGGCTTAAAGGAGGAGGATGAGGTCCACATTTGCCTAACTCCCTCATTATTCTCACTGAAATGCTTCAAGTAGGAAGACAGGGAATTACATTTATTGAGCCCTTGTTATTGCATATACAGTTGACCTTTGAACAGCATGGGTTTGAACTGTGCAAGTCCACTTATACCCAATTTTCTTTTTCAACCAAACACTGATTAAAAAAAAAAAAAAATACCATGGTGGGTCAATCATAGTGGCTCGAACCTGTAATCCCAGCTATGTGGGAGGCTGAGATAGGAGGATCGCTTGAGCCCAGGAACTTGAAGCTACAGTGAGTTATGATCAGGCCACTGTACTCCATCCTGGGAAACAGAGTGATACCCATCTCTTAGAAGAAAAAGAGAAGAAAATACAGTAGTGAAGGGAGGCAAAGTCTGTATATTCAGAGGACCAACTTTTAGTCTAGGTGGGTTCCACTGGGCCAACTGTGGTTCTTGAGTAGGTGTGAATTTCAGTATAGGTGGAGGTCCTGGAGCCAATCCCTTGCCTATACCGAGAAATTACTGTACTATTGTAGGTGTATTACCCACATTACCTATAATTTTCCCAACAACACTTGTTTTATGAACGAAGAAACTGTCTTAATCTTGTAAAATTTCTTGCCAAGGTCTCATACGTAATAAATGATAGACCTGGAAGCTGAATCTAGTTTGTTTGATTTGGAACTCCAAACTATTTCCACTACTCAGGATGACTTGCTAGAAGAAACTATGAAGCACAGAGACAAACAAAAAAATTAAGGGGTTAATAAAACACCCTCCCATATACAGGTTTTAATTCTTGCGACAGTTTTGCCAGGAAGCCATTTTATGAACTCCTTTTATAGATGAGGAAACTGAGGCCAGGAGTGTGATTTGCCTACGTTTACAGGACCACTGAAAGAGCCAGGGCTTATCTTTCAAATGCCAGGTCGCTTGGACTCAGGCTTATGCTCTTTCCAACAAAAGGTAAGTTCCTTCATTCACTCTTTCACTCCATTTATTGAGCTGATCTCTTCTCGCCGGATTTTAGGGCTCTCTCCTTCTCTTCCCCTGCTCTTTCCTGGCTGAAGTTGGCTTCTTCCTTAGGTGCTTATTTCTGCCGCCTATCAGATTGAAAGGGTTATTTGTTTTTCACAGCCACCCTTTGAGGAGCCATTTCTTTCCCCCAGCCTGGGACAGGGATGACTTCCCAGATGGTCCCTGGGCCTTCATCTGTATTGCTTGTCACGGAGATAGCTCTATCATTTTATGTGACTGTCACAAAATAGAGGAAAGATTTGATTGATGCTTATCTTACAAATGCAATTCTGCACGCACCACTGTGCAGTGACCTGTCTGCTTAGATCTGCCTCAGGCGGCTGCCTGCTGGGATGCTTTTTGCCTGTCTTCCAAATGTCTGAGTAGCCCCTGGCCGCCCCCTCCTAAGAAGATCCCCTTGGGGGCTTCCATCTGAATGAGCCTTCCAGCCGAACTCAGTGCTCTGCCTCTCCCCATTCTCACACCACCTACTGGGAAAGCCATGCTGCGTGTGCATAAGCAGATGCTGACGGTGTGGTATGGCAAGTACAGTATGGTAGCAAGACACTCAGGATGTTGGGGATGCTTCTTTTTTTAATTTTTATTTTTAGAGATAGGGTCTTACTCTGTCACCCAGGCTGGGATACAGTGGTGCAATCATAGCTCACTGTAACCTCGAACCCCTGGACTCAAGTGATTTTCCTGCCTCCGCCTCCCAAGTACTGAGGACTACAGGTGCACACTACCACATCCAGCTAATTTACATTTTTTTTGGCTGGGTGTGGTGGCTCATGCCTGTAATCCCAGCACTTTGGGAGGCCGAGGCGGGCGGATCACAAGGTCAGGAGATTGAGACCATCCTGGCTAACACGGTGAAACCCCGTCTCTACTAAAAATACAAAAAATTAGCTGGGCGTGGTGGCAGACGCCTGTAGTCCCAGCTACTGAGGAGGCTGAGGCAGGAGAATGGTGTGAACCCAGGAGGTGGAGCTTGCAGTGAGCCTAGATCGCGCCACTGCACTCCAGCCTGGGCAACAGAGCGAGATTGTCTCAAAAAAAAAAAAAAAAAAAAAAAAAAAAAATTGTAGAAATGGAATCTCACTGTTTCCCAGGCTGGTTTTGAACTCCTGGCCTCAAGTGATTTTCCCACTTTGGCCTCCCAAAGTGTTGGGATTACAGGCGTGAGCCACCATGCCCAGCCAGAATGCTTCTTTATTCACTCTAAAATTGTTATGGTTTTCATTTTCCTTAATCCCGTGAAACCTGGAAGCCATTAGGTAACAGAAGTTCCATTCATGACCCTCCAACTGACTTGCTGTGTGAGCTTGGACAAATCACTTGTCTTTGCAGAGCCTCATTTTTTTTTTTTTTTTTTTTACCTATAAGATAAATGGAGGTAGATCAGGAACTGAAACAATTTTTTACTCTTGCCATCACTCCCTATTCTCATATCTGTGGCAGTCATAGCTAATAAAGGTAGACAAATTTCTCACTGATTCTACACAAGGCTACAAGTATTTTTCTCAGCACATACAATTCTCTTATTTAAAATTCACAGCGCCTTGTGAAAGTAGGTATTATTGTCAGATGAGGACACTGAGGCATAGAATTTAAGTAGGTTGGCCAAGTTTAC